AAGAAAGAAAGAAAGAAAGAAAGAAAGAAAGAAAGAAAGAAAGAAAGGAAGGAAGGAAGGAAGGAAGGAAGGAAGGAAGGAAGGAAGGAAGAAAGAAAGAAAGAAACTCCGGAATGGTGATGCACACCTGTAATCCCAGCACTTGGGAGGCTGAGGCAGGAGGATCAGCAGGAGTTTGAGACCAGCCTGAGCTACATAGTGAGGCCCTATTTCAAAAATATTAATAAAAAGAAAAAACCCACTCCGGGTGAGGTGTTCCACTCCTGTATTCCCAGGAAGGTTGAAGCCAGTCTGGGCCACTTAGAGAGACTCTCGAATTACAAAGGGCCGGGGCTGTTGGATGGAGCTCAGCGCGCTGGGTTCACTTTCGAGTACCAAAACGTCTTGAGTACCAGACGGTCTCGCTTCCTCCGGATGTCGGTTTGGCCCTGGAGTTGGGCAACCTGAAACGCAGGCGTGCGTGCGTGTCTCATTCTCTCCTGCACTTGGGGACACTGACGAAAGTCACCCGCGGGTCCAGACCCACAAAGCCCGACTCCCGGCCCCCACGCCCCCTTGTGGAAGAACCCGCAAAAGACTCTCTGCCCCTCAATCGTAAAGGCGGCGACCTCTGGTCGGTAGCAAGTCTCTTTGGTCAGCTAAGGACACCAATTCTCTCTGAGCCCGTTTCTGCCTCCGTGGGCTGGGACGAACTGATTACCTAGTTACCAGGCCTCAGAGCTCAGGAAGCGAGAAGAACAGAGGCCGAGACGTTGTTCCGTGAAGGGGCTGGGCGGGTAGGAGGAACCCAGGTGACCTTCCGCAAGCCCCTTCTTCCTTGGCGTCAGGCTGGCCTCTAGAATACAGGGTCCCAGTTCTTAACCGTGGCTGAATATTTAACACGTTAGGAACCCTGAGCATGTTCCCATTTATCTCCCATTTCACAGATGGTGAAACTGAGGCCCACTCAGAAAGGTAGACTCTCTTGCCCCGTGTCCCAACGTTAGCGAGTAGGGCTGGGATTCAAACCCGCCTCCCAGCCGGGCTACCCTCTTAGAGCTCTCCCAGAAGGCTCGGGCCAGCCCTGACAGGAAATTAATCAGCCCTCTGGGCGTCCTTGCAGGTTGCTAGGATACTGGGCGTTACCAAGGAGATGCAGACCCTAATGGGAGTCCGCTGGGGCATGGAGCTGCTCACCCTCCCCCATGGCCGGCAGCTCCGACTAGACCTGCTGGAGAGGTAAGGCCAGCGCCGGCCCAGGGAGCTCGCAGGGACTAGGAGCTGCCTCGCGCCTTTGGCGGTGGCCCTTGGCCAGGGGGACTCTCGGCTCCCCGCCCCCGGAGCTCTGGCCACGCCTCCCATCCAGATGGCCAATCGCATTCCTGCTTTCCCAAAGGCTGAAGGTTTTATCTCTGGATGCTCCGTTTGCATCCCCTGCCCAACACCCTTGCCCCGCCCATCATTTCTAACCTATTTTTTAAAAAAAATTTTTTTGGCGGGTAACAGGCACCTTCCTCTTGCGAGGCAGGCGGTGGAACCACTGAGCTAAATCCTCGATCCTAGGTTTATTCTTTTTTTTTAACTTTTTTTTTTTCGGTATCAGAATCGAACTCAGGACCTTGCGCTTGCCAGGCAGGCGCGGCGCCACTAAGCTAAATCTCCGGCCCCTCTTCATTCATTCTTTTTTTTTTTCCATTCATTCTTAAAAGAACTCTGCTCAGTGAATTCCACTCATCAATCACAAGCCCCACCACCTGGCGCCGCCCTGCTCCTGCCCCTCACTTATACTGACCAATCAGAAGCCCCTAGCCACGCTTTCCCTCATCCTGGCTACCCCCCCAATGCAAGGGACTCTGCACCTTCTCACTTCGGCTCTGCGCTCCGCCCCTCGGTGCCCTGTGACTTGCAGCGGCAAGGCCCCGCCCCGGCCTTGGCCACGCCCCTGACCCACCCTCTCCGACAGGTTCCATACCATGTCCATTATGCTGGCAGTGGATATCCTAGGCTGCACCGGCTCTGCGGAGGAGCGCGCGGCGCTGCTACACAAGACCATCCAGCTGGCCGCCGAGCTGCGGGGGACCATGGGCAACATGTTCAGCTTTGCCGCCGTCATGGGCGCCCTGGATATGGCCCAGGTACTAAGGGGTCCTCAGAGACCGCCCGGAAGAGGGGGCGTGGTCCTTCGGACCGCCTGTGTAAAAAGAGGAAAGGCTCTGTAAACTTCTAGGCATCACTGGTGAAAGGGTAACAGGAAGAACCGACCGAGTTCGTCCCTGCCGACAAGACCAAGCTCTTCCCTTTCTCTGGGCCTCAGTTTCCTCACTTTTAAAGGGCGTTATATGAGTTCAAAAAGTACACGTAGCTGGGGGTGGTAGCACATGCCTGTAACCCCAGCCTCTCCCTAGGCTGAGGCGGGAGGATGACGAATTGGAGGCCAGCCTGGGCGATTTAGCCAGACCTTCGCTCAAAATGAAAAATAGAAAGGGCTGGGGATATCGATCAGAGCGTTTGCTTAGCACACATGAGGTGCTGGGATTAATCAAAGAGGACAAATACACACAAAATGGCTATAACTTTGTGCTGGGAGCTACACTCTTAAGTTTTTATTTGTTTTTTATTTTATTATTATTATTATTTTGGGGGGGGTACCAGGGATCAAACTTGGGTCCTTGCGCTTGTGCAGCAGGCGGCGGAAACCACTGAGCTAAATCCTCGGCCCAGTTTTTGTTTGTTTTTTGAGATAGTCTCACTAAGTAGCTCTGGCTGGCCTTGAACACACTGTGTAGCCCAGGTTGGCCTTGAACTCTGCAATCCTCCTGCCTCAGCCTCTCCAGTGTTGGGATAACAGACATGTGCCATCATGCCTGGCTTTACACTAAATATTTACCAGCACTTGGGAGGCTGAGGCAGGAGGATTGCAGAGTTCAAGGCCAACCTGGATCATCTGGAGTTTGAGGCCACCCTGGGCTACATAGTAAGTTGAAGACCACCAGAACTAGATAGCAAGACCTTGTATCAAAAAACCAAAATAAATAATGCAGTTATGATCACTCAAGAGGCTGAGGCAGGAGAATAATCACAAGTTCAAGGCCAGCCTGGGCTACATAGTGTGTTCAAGGCCAGTCTGAACTACAAAGTGAGACCTTGACTCAAAAAAAAAAAAAACCTTAAATAAATAAACAAGTAATCCACCTGCCTCACAAGCACAAGGTCCTGAGTTCGAACCCTGGTACAAAAATAAATAAATAAATAAATAAATAAATAAATGGAGCAACTGAGACAGTAGTACTTGCTTAAGTTCATACAGCCTGACCACTTGAGGATTTGAGCCAGACTGAGTGTGGGCCTCTCCTGGGCCTAATACAGAAGGCCGGGGGAGGATGGCAGGGTTCTGGACTCAGCTCTGGCTCTGCCACTTACTTCGGAATAACACCGGACAGGTCGTTCCCCTCTCTGAGCTTCCTTCTCTCATCTGTGAAATGAGCTGTTGTGCAGCTTCACGGGTGAGGTCCCTGCTGGTCCCTTCCTGGTCTGAGTCCCCCCCCCCGCCCCCGTCCCCCCAGATTTCCCGGCTGGAGCAAACGTGGATGACCCTGCGGCAGCGACACACAGAGGGTGCCATCCTGTATGAGAAGAAGCTCAAGCCTTTTCTCAAGAGCCTCAACGAGGGCAAAGGTACCTGGCTGCCTTGCTGGATGACCCGGGACGCGAGCCAGCCTAGTGTGGGTTCGGCCGCGCCCACATCCCGGTTCAGCCCTCCGGACAGCTGGCGGCCCCTGGGGTTCACCCGGGGCATCTGAAAGGAAAGGGTTGTCGGGGTGGTGGGACCCCCTCTCCCGGAGCGCCGCGGAGGGGCAGCAGTGCCCCCCGGGGCGGCTGAGCCCCTCTGTCCCCACAGAAGGCCCGCCGCTGAGCAACACCACGTTTCCGCACGTGCTGCCGCTCATCACGCTGCTGGAGTGCGACGCGGTGCCCACCGAGGGCCCGGAGCCCTGGGGCAGCACGGAGCACGGCGTGGAGGTGGTGCTGGCGCACCTGGAGGCGGCCCGCACGGTGGCGCACCACGGGGGCCTCTACCACACCAACGCGGAGGTCAAGCTGCAGGGTGAGTGGCGGCCATCGGTCCGCGTGCCTCGCCTCCCCCACCCTCGCTGCTCCCCATTCCTGGAAGCGGCCGGTGCGCAGTTCTCGTCCCTCTGTCCTGCTCTGTCTCCTCAACTCCTCTTTCTCCTCCCTCTCAGGTCACCAAGCAGTTTTGAGTGCGCTGGGTGGACACGGGGGCGACTCAGCTGAGTGTCATGCTTTGCTTTGCTGAGCCTTAGTGTTCCCACCTGCGAAGTGGGTGGGTGATACAGACCGGGCCAGAGACAGACCTGCCTGTCTTCAGGGGGCCTCGAATCCCCTCCCTGAGAAGCTACAGAGAGCAGGCTGCTCAATCTCTCCTATACTGCTTTTGACATTATTTAAGTCACACAATTTTGCTGGGGACAAATTAGAAACTGCAACTAGGGAAAATTATGATTTAAAAAATTACCCAGAGGAAGCTGGATATGGTGGCGCACTTCTGTCATCCCAGCACTCGGGAGGCTGAGGCACGAGGATCGCTCCAAGTCTGAGGCCAGCCTGGGCTACACAGTGAGTTCAAGGCCAGCCTGGACTGCATAGTGAGACCCTGTCTCAAAACAGCAAAACAGGGCCAGGGATTTGGCTCAGTGGCGCCGCCACCATCCTTGCAAACGCAAGGTCCCAAGTTCCATCCCTGGTACCAAAAAACCCAAAAAACAAAAACCACCAGAATGAAACAAAACCCCAAAACTTTTAGTCATCTAGGAAGTCGATGTTGTAATGTGCACTGCCTTGTTCACCAAAGCCTTGGGTTTCGGGTGGGATGGGATGGGGCGGGTAGGGGTGGCATCCATATCGGTGGGTGTGAGGGCCCCAGCTGGATGGGGATCCCCTGACCCTATGCACCCTGCAGGGTTCCAGGCCCACCCAGAGCTCCTGGAGGTGTTCAGCACAGAGTTCCAGATGCGCCTCCTCTGGGGCAGCCAGGGCGCCAGCAGCAGCCAGGCCCGGCGCTACGAGAAGTTCGACAAGGTCCTCACCGCCCTGTCCCACAAAGTAGAGCCAGCCGTGCGCTCCAGCGAACTGTGACCCCCAGGGACTGTTCCCTCCTGCTGCAGCAGGCAGCACTGGGGACAGAAGGGTACAGACCTTCCCTAGAGCACCCCAGGGACACTGTGATCAGCCCAAGAATGTTCTGGGTTCCACTCCGGGATCTCCCTTGCACCTTCAGGGTCCTTCGTGACTCTAGGCTCTGTCCCACTGCCACCTGCTCACCGAGTCTCCCTCAGGAAGGACAGGAGGCCCTGTTCCTCCCACTGGCTTCTGCTGTCCCCCTTCCAGTTGAGGTTCCCTGATTTCGAGCCATGGAGGCCACCAGGCCTCCACCCCACTGCACCACTGTAAATAAGCCCGCCTGTCTGTAAATAGATGTACAGAGCCATGTTCTTTCTTTCATATAATAAACTTTTATGACTTTCTTCTGACTCTTGGGGAGTTGGGTAGAAGGAAGCACTTTTTCAAGGGAAAGGTGGAGAATGCCATTCAGTGAATATTCCTTTTTTTTTTTGGTACCAGGGCTCGAACTTGGGTCCTTGTGCTTGCAAGGCAGGCAGCAGAACCACTGAGCTAAATCCCTGGCCCCCAGAGAATATTTCTTTAGCACCTGGGCCATCCTAGACTGGACCTGGAGCTCGGATGCAATAAATCCCAAACCTAAGCCCTACCCTGGGGGAGCTTACACACAGCGGGGATGACAGCAGCAAATTCCAACCCGGTGGGGAAAGACTGGCCTGCTTCTCTTGGCCCATTTCCCCACCACCTTCAGGAAGCTGCAGCAACAGTTTCCACAAAACACACCGCCAAGGGGGTGAGATGACTGAGGTGGAAGGGATTCAGAAGGCTACGGTTCCAGTTATGCCGGAAGACAGATCTGGAGGGAGAAGGGACTTCCGGGATACAGTGGCAGAAGAAGGAAAGCTACAGACTGGCTGTCCCAACCTGGGGCTCTTGCATTTTCTTTCCTTAATACTGGGAACTAGTCATTTCTTTTCAGGTGTGGTGGTACACATCTGTAATCCTAAGTACCTGGGAGGCTGGGGCAAGAGGATCCCAAGTTTGAGGCCAGCTTGGATACATAGGTAGACAGTTTCAAAAAAAAACAAACCTTGGTGCGGTGATGTATGTCTGTAATCCCAGCACTCTGGGAGGCTGAGGCAGGAGAACTGTTCAAGTTCAAGGCCAGGCTAGGCTACATAGGGAGTTCAAGACCAGCCTAGGCTACACAGTGAGACCCTGTCTCAAAATTTTTTTTTAAACCAATGAAAATAAAAAGGGTTGGAGGGGCCGGGGATTTAGCTCAGTGGTTCTGCCGCCTGCCTCACAAGCACAGGGTCCTGAGTTCCATCCCCAGTGCCAAAAAAAAAAAAAAGGGAAAAGGGTTGGAGATGTAGCTCGGTGGTGGAGCTATGTCTAGCATGTTCGAGGTCTTGGGTTTAATCTCCAGTATGGCAAAAAAAGAAACAAACCCAAAACTGGGGAATTTGCCCCAGAAGTCATGGGGTATGTGTACACACACATGTCTGTGCCTGGTGGGTGGGACAAGGGTTTTTTTTTTGGTACCGGGCATCGAACTCAGGACCTTGCTCTTGCCAGGCAGGCACAGTCCCTTTGAGCTAATAAATCCCCAGCCCAGGACAAGGGTCTCTGAGGTGGGCCATGAAGGCAGTTGCCCTAGTTCCCTTCCGCTAGCAGGTAGGAGAGGCTGAGGCAGGCAATGCAAATCAGCATGACCCCAGCCAGGATGGAGGGCCTGGGAGCCTGTTTCCTGAACTTGAGACCTCAAGGGCCTCTGCTTCTGAATCCTTTGACCAAGAGAGACTGCTAACATGACACGGTGCATTCCATCTTTGGCAGAAGTTAGGGTTGAGTTCAGTTCTATTGTTTACTAGCTGCACACATGGATAAGAGGCTTAAACTCTTGGGCCCCAAATCCAATAAAATAGGGACAGATAATGGAACCTAACTCCTAGGATTGCTATTAAACACTTAGCAGTTGCTAGGGAGGGAGCAGCTGTGTTTCATATATAATGGATTGTCAATGATCATTTATTATTTTTTTTTTTGTACAGGGGATCGAACTCAGGACCTTGTGCTTTTGAGGCAGGCAGCAGAACCACTGAGCTAAATCCCCGGCCCCTTATTATTTTCTGACTAAAGCATTTTATGTTCCTCTATCTCACTGAAATGTCACCATTCCTCTGTATTATATTACGGGATATATAAGGCACCTGACACTAAGAGCACATATGCGTCTTCACCAAAAGCTATTAATGAGCTCTCTTTTGTCACATAAAAGAAAAAAAGGGCATGGAAAAGGCGCTTTGCAAGGCGCAAGGTTCAGGACAAGTTTTTGTTACAATTGTTACATCATCCTTTGTGGTCATAATCCTTTATTCTTTCTGAGCTCCCGTGATGGTCCCCTAGTTACAGTGGCCATGGAAACGCTGCCCGCCAGTCCGGATCGGACGGCTCGCGGGCTCCCCTTGGAGGCCACCTTCCATTCCTGGGCTCGACGACCGGGCGTGGCTTGCAGACGCTCGCGAGGGGCTCTGGGGGTTGTAGGCCACGGACATGGCTGCCCTGGAGCGGTGCACTGTGGGAGCTGTAGTTCCCAGGTCGAGGGGGTTGGCGGCCCAGACTGAGCTCCGGCCTCCTACGGATGGCGGCTGCGACACGCAGCTGCCGGCCCTGGGGCTCGCTCCTCGGGCTACTCACGCTGGTCTCGGCCGCGGCCGCCACCTGGGACTTGACTTCGCTGCGCTGCAACTTTGGCTCCTTCTGCGAATGCGACTTCCGGCCAGACCTGCCCGGTGAGGGTCCGGGTGAGCTGGGGGCTGGGAGCAGGCCCTGGGCTGGAGCATCTGTGGACCTGGAGGGGCAACCGCAGGCGGGACCCGTGGACTTGGGAGAGAAGCCGAGAGCCTGGGGCACGCACCAGAGGCGAGGGTTTGGGGTGCCCGTTGGGGATCCCCGAGGACTTGTCAGAATGGAGAGACCCTTGACAGCAGGGCCTCTGGGGGTCGTGTCAGCCCTCCACGGAACGTACTGGCCGGCCAGGGAGAAGCTTGCCCTGGGGACAGGTAGAGGTCTCAGCCCGACTCAGCTCGCGCTCACTTAAGGCTGCAATCTAGCGAACGGCCGAGTGGGGGCGCTGCCGAGCTGAGCCTGGCTGAGGTCTCTCCTGCAGTCAGAGACCCCCAAGGGTCCCGTGTCCTTCTGCGTCCCACACCCAGGGTTTCCCATGCCAGGCTGCAGATATGATTTCCCCCTTGGAACTCTCCCTTGGTAGGGATGTGTTCTCAGCTCTGACACTTCTTTTGTGGCCCCAGGCCTGGAGTGTGACCTGGCCCAGCATCTGGCTGGCCAGCATCTGGCCAAAGCTCTGGTCTTGAAGTTGCTGAAGGCCTTCGTGCAGGACCCGGCCCCCAACAAGCCACTGGTCCTCTCCCTGCATGGCTGGACCGGCACCGGCAAGTCCTATATCAGCTCCCTGCTGGCACAGTACCTGTTCCGGGGCGGCCTCCGCAGCCCCCACGTGCACCACTTCTCCCCCATCATTCACTTCCCACACCCCAGCCACATCGAGCGCTACAAGGTAGGCCGGACACATCCTGGACTGCCATTCACTGGCCCCGTGAGGTGAAGGACCACAAGTAGTGAGTGCTGAGCCCAGAGAGGGGAGTCGCTCGCCCCAAGCCACACAGCCAGCTGGACCTCAGCCCTTAGCACCCATCCTGAACAGGGATTGGAAATGGCAGCTTCTACTTGGCAGGCAGAGAGAGGCAGTTCTCTGATTCCAAGGTGGCAGGCAGTTATGCCACCTACTGCCAGAGTTGTTGTGAAGGATGTGGGATTCTCCAGTTGCAGGTATTACCTATTGAGCTCCTCTGTTTGCCAGACAGTCTGCGTTGTCCTCTTCCTGTGAAGCACTTAGCCCTAGTTGTGCTGTAGAGGAAGCCGTGAATACCAGCTCCGCTGACTGTTGCTGACTGCAAGGCACTTTACTTTCTAGGCTGATCTGTCCTGGCTGGCAATATCATTGGGAAGGAGCAGGGAGTAGGAAGTAGTTGGTAGCATGGAAGGAGCCCAGATAGGGAGATGGGGGCTTAGGTTTACATGCCTGTTCTCCTGCTGACTGGCTGTATGACCATGGGCAAATCTGTGGCCCTTTCTGGGCCACCCTTTCTCTGTCAGTCTCGTGAAGGAGCTGGTCCACTCTGAGGGGCCGTATCTCCCAGGGAAGGGGATTAGTTCCTGCCTTGGGGAGAAGCTGGGGTCGGGAGAGTATCTCTGCCCCCCCTAGTATGCCTGTCTCTCCCCTTAGAAGGATCTTAAGAGCTGGGTCCAGGGGAACCTCACTGCCTGTGGCCGCTCCCTCTTCCTCTTCGATGAGATGGACAAGCTGCCCCCAGGCCTGATGGAGGTCCTGCGGCCTTTCCTGGGTCCTTCCTGGGTTGTGTATGGGACCAACTACCGCAAAGCCATCTTCATCTTCATCAGGTGGGTGACACTGCTCGGAGGTCCAGCAGTCTCTGGTCTTGGCCTGTGCTCCCCGTGGAGTACCGTGCCCCACCCCGCCACTGGGCCAGTCGGGCTTTCTCACAGCCCCTCACCCTTGTGCTGGTGAGGCTGTCATTCGCGACTCCCCTTGTGCACCCTCAAAGCATGCTGGGCTTGGTCCTGTGGGTCCTTGGCACTTCTTTGTGGAAACCCTGGTGCATCAAGAGTTGTTTTGTGGCTGAGACCACATGGGACTGGACTCCTGGTCTTCTAGTCCCAGCTCTGTGGGTCCTCACTGTGTCTGCTCAGCCAAGACTGCTTGACCTGTCCAAGCTTCTGTATCTTCTGAGCAGCCTTATTTTATTGCCATTGTCCTCTTGGAGGCTGGGTGAGACCAGGCAGTTAAGTTTGCACTAAAGTGTGTGCAAACCGGAAAGTGCATGGTGGGAACCCATTGTACAGGGTCATTACAGGAGCCGGAGAGGAAGGGAAGGGGTGTTTCCTGGGCTTGGCTCCCGCCCCTGATCCAGGGCAGCAGTGCCAGGGAGGACCGCGTCCTGAGCCTCTGGCCCATCTGCCTCTCAGCCTGTGTTCCTCCTGGTTTTAGCAACACGGGTGGCGAGCAGATCAACCAGGTGGCCTTGGAGGCATGGCGCAGCCGCCGGGAACGTGAGGAGATCAGCCTGCAGGAGCTGGAGCCCATCGTCTCCCGGGCCGTGCTGGACAACCCGCACCGTGAGTTGGCTCAGGGGCCCAGTCTGTGTGGCTTCGCACCCAGAACCCCAAGTGCCAGCCTCCCCGAGTGGGCCTGGCCCTCCCAGAATAGAAAGTTTGCAAGGCCAGCATCGCGCCTCCACCGCCCCTCGGTGGCTGGCCTCTCCCCACTTGCACGAGCTCGTGAGGCACAGTGTCCCCTCCCTGCCCTTCTTGCAGATGGCTTCTGGCGCTCGGGCATTATGGAGGAGCGCCTGCTGGACGCGGTGGTCCCCTTCCTCCCGCTGCAGAGACACCATGTGCGGCACTGCGTGCTGAATGAGCTGGCCCAGCTGGGGCTTGAGGCCCAGGACGAGGTGGTTCAGGCCGTGCTGGACAGCACCACCTTCTTCCCCGAGGACGAGCAGCTCTTCTCCTCCAACGGCTGCAAGACTGTGGCCTCCCGGATTACCCTCTTCCTCTGACACCGGGCTGGCATCCTCACCTCCTCTGCATGGCTAGGGCCACACAGGAAAGGCCTGGGACCTCCGCTGAGGGACCCTTGTCCCAAGCCTGCTGGAGAGTGGGACCCAGGACACAAAGTCAAGATGAAGAGGGGCCAAGGACAAAGGGCTGGAAGGGCCCAGCCTCTGAACCAGTGAGTGGGCCCCGTGGCCTTGGCAACCTCCGCCAGGGAAACCCCTGGTCGTCCACAAGCTCACTCTCTTGACCTCACCTGCAGCCTGGGTCTGCTTCATGTGAATTGTAACTCAGGGACCATGGTTCGTGGCTGCTCCCTCCATCCGGGCTCTCCTTCTCGAGCCCTTTGCTCTGGCACCTGACCCCAGCCCCACTCCTCAGCCTTTGTTCCAGGATCACAGGCCACGCATGGAGGGACTCAAGCTGCCACCTGGGCCTGGACTTAGATGTTCTTAATTTTGTAAATGAACAAGTGTAATAAACTTAGCCATGGGACAACAGGAATGTTGGCTGGGCTTCTTGTTGCCCAAGAAGGGGGCAGCTTTGCTGTGTGCTGGTGTCGGGGGCAGAATCTGTCCCCTCCCCAGCAAGAAGCAGGGGCCTTACTCGGGCATTCAGAGCGCAGCATGATGGTCAGGGCCCTGACCAGCCTTGGTCTTGCTGGCGTTGTGGCCCAGGCCCTGCATGGCATCAGTTTTGTTGGAACTTGAGCTTGTGCCCTGACCTGGGTTCAGGGCAACAGCCTCAGTCTCACTGGGCATCCAGCTCTGGCCCTGGTTGGCCTTGGTATTGCTGAGGCTCCCACTTGGGTCATGGAAACCCTTGGACTTAGTCCTGCTGGGACCCTAGACTCGTCCCCAGTTCTAGCCGTGGGCAGCCTCGGCCTTCCTGAATCTCTGCCTTGGGCTCTGGGTGGCCTTGATCTTGCTGGGCCTCTGCCTTTGACCCTGGGCAGCCTTGGTCTCACTGGAGCCCTGGCTCTGGGTGGCCTCGGACGAGCTCTGCATCTGAGCCTGGGAAGCCTGGGATTTTCTGGGGCGATGGCTCGGGCTTAGGGCTTCTCTCTTGTTCCCGGAATCTGAGGACTGAGTCTTGGGCAGCGAGGAGTCAGAGAACATCCCGGGGGTGGTGGAGGTGCTCCTGTACTCCTGGGAAGGCGTGGACATCTCCATCTCTGAGGTGGATGCCCTCCTGACTGGGAAGGGTGTGCCAAGGGCAGTTCTCAGGCCACCCCTGCCTTGGGAAGCTCCCTGGCCTGCACCCCTGTGTCCCTGGGCTCTGTACAGCTGAAGGGGAAGACCTGCCGGTCACACCAGCAACCTGCCACCTGGCTCTCCTCTGCTGGCTGCCCCTTGCCCTCTGTGCCCCCACAGGGCTCAGCCCCTGCCCAGTTGTGCCCTGCCCCAGCCCTTCCCATGCTTAGCTACCCACCCACCTGCCCTCCATTAGGGTTTGGCTGTGCCTTCCACTTTAGAGTCAGCTCCCCAAGGACACAGGGCCATCAACAGGAGAGGCCAAGTTCACAGGTCCTGATGTCTGAACTGTTTTTGCTTTGGATTTTTTTGAGGCAGGGTCTTCTTATGTAGTTCAGTGGTCTGAACTCACTACGTAGCACAAACTCACAGCGATCCTCCTGCCTCAGCCTTCCAAGGGCTGGGATTACAGACGTGTGGCACCACGCCCAGTTTGTGACCCTTGACCATTGGCCACTGTGCCACTCTGGCTTGCATGGGCCTCACAGGGGACCAGGGACTTACAGCCAAGGACGGAGCCCGAGGAGGTCCGGTCGAGGTAGCTGTCCGATGCAGACGTCACCTTGTGAAGGCTGAGCTTTAGTTGGTCCTGCAGCAGGAAACAGGATGGGCAGTTGGAGTCAGAGGCCAGCTGGCTCTTGGGACCTCCAGCAATCTCTCCTGGGCTTGGAGCTCCTCATGGACAGGCTAAGGCTTCGGCAAGGGCCGTGGCCAGGCGACACAGGCACAGAGCCCTGAGGAAGGTAGTGTTCAGGGGGCTGCCGGGTCTCTGGTTTCCCCTCTGCACACCATTAGCTCCAGGGGGCTTCTGTAACGAAAGCGCTGCTCCATAGGGACTGGCAGTGACAAAGTGGAAGACCCGCTCACTGCTTGGCACACTTGCCCCATTTCATCCTCCCAGCACATCCAGGGTGGGGTGAGACCGCTGTTGTGACCATTTCTGAGACCACACATCCAAGCCACCTGCCTGGTGCCACTCAGCTGGGGACAGAAGCCGGTTTGCGGCCCCTCTGTACAAGCTGGAGGCACCAAGTGCACCAGTTCCCCTAGGCACTGGGTCCTGGGCCCCAAGCTCTGCCCAGGGCAGCTCGCATCCTCTGAGGGTGGGGCCATAGTGACCTGGGCCACACAGATGGGAGCTCTGTGCATCTGCATTTACTCTAAGTGAGCTGAAAAATGAAAGGCTGGCCTTCCCCGAGGCCTGCAGGGGACACCGGTACTGCAGTCACCCCTGTTATGCGGAGTGCCCTTTGGACATGCGCTTACTCAAGGTCTACCAGCAGGGGAACAGATAAAGAGATCACGCATTGAAGTGGTGGGAAGGCGCAGCCTATGTGCACAAGTCTCCCAAATGCCATTTTAGGGAAAGGAGCTCCGAAAGGAGGCCACCCCGTATCTGTCCATTCATGGGAAGAACGGGTGGGTGGGGGCTAAACCTGGTGGCTGGTAGTTTTAGGAATCAGAGCAGCTTTGTGGCTGGGCTGGGGCAGAGAAGCACTAGGAGGCACCCGAGGGCTTCTGGGAGCCAGGCACATGTTCTTTGTTGACCCAAGCAATGGTGTCATGGTGCATTCAGCTTGTGAAAATCCAACTGCTCATCCAATTGTTTACTTTTGATCTATGCTCTTGTCTGCATTTATGCTACATTCCACAATGTCTTCAGAACCAGTGCACACTGCACAAATCATGAAGATGAGCCCAGGGAAGTATGGGAAATCCCTTCCTATGAGGCCCATGTCTTTATACCTCCTCCCATCTCTGGTCCCTTCCCCACCCCCTACAAGATGTGCCAGTCCCAGAAGCCAGCAGTCAACTTCAGTTCCAGACCCTGAGGGGCCCAGGCTCTGACCTGGGTCCCACTCACCTGTTCTTTCTCTTCCCCTGCTTTCTTCCCCTTGAGGGCCTCAGTGTCTTTCCCTGAGTCTTCCAGGGATATCTGCAGCATCTGGGAGGTGAGCTCTGGCTCTTTAGGGGTCGCAGACAGAGGCCATCTGAGCTTCCAGGAGAGCTTCAGGGCCTGGGCCTTGTGGTGCTCCAGCTCCCAAACCATGAGTAAGCTGCCAAGCCATGGCCCCAGGGCCCTGAGTTGGTTTCCTGGACTCCACCTGCCATCCTCAAGGACTAGGCAGTGGGGCCCTAGGAGTTGGGAGCCGTAGCCAGCCCCACCACTGCCCTGTGGCCCTCACTCCGTAGGCTCACCCCACAATGCCTTGTGGGCTCTTGGCCTGCAGGCCACTTTCCACCATCCGCTCCAGCTGCAGCTTAGCCAGGTGGCATACCTGGCTGCTAAGCACCTCCTCCACTGACATGCCCGGAAAGAGGCTGGTCATCAGTGGGAAGAGCTGCCAGGAGAGAGGGTGACCAGAGCCAGGTGTGGGCCAAAGCAGGTGGCAGAGGGCTGGAGCTCTGCATTGCAGAGTCCTAACTGGCTCTTCTCAGTGCTGAATGCAGAGGGTTTGCAAGTTGTTTCTAAAGGGCTCGACCCTTTTATCCCGGAAAGAGCAAGAGATTATAAGAAAGGAACCATTCCAACACAGGCCTGATGGAGCCATTCAGATATGGTCCAACCTCTGAGCCAGGGCAAGGATACCTTCTCAGAGCCTCGCTGTTTGAGGGTGATGATGTTATTGGGCTTGGAGGGAAGGGAGGAGGGTTCGAGGGAGCGGTGGGTTTCATGTGTTAAGAACTCTGCCTGGCTCACAGAAAGTGTTCTGGCATTAGCAGTTTATTGTTATCAGGAGCTGCAACTGATAAATATTGTTATTGTTATCAAGTCAGATTTCTCAGGGATAGAAATCTGCCTCTGAAGGGCCGGGAATTTAGCTCAGTGGTTCCACCGCCTGCCTTGCAAGCTCAAGGACCTGAGTTTGATCCCGGTACCAAAAAAAAAAAAAAAAAACAGAAATCTGCCTCTGGAGCCCAGCTGCCCTCCTGACCCAGGAAGAACCCACCTTTGGTTGCTTGGGGTTCAGGAGCAGCACTGTGGCGACATCCTGGCGGGCACCAAAAATGTCCTGTAGGGTCTGACGGTTCTTGGCCCGGTACAGGTAGCACTGGGCCCTCTGGGGGTTGTGCTGAATGGCTGCTGAGAAGTGGTCCTCAGCCCGCTGGAACTGCCTGCAGGGTACAGAGGGCCCCAGACTGCCCTGAACGGGGTCTGTGTCAGGAAGATGGTGGCTGCTGGTCCCCACAGTGAAGACTGGGAGAAAACCAAGGGTCCCTGGTCCCCACAACGTGCCCCTCTCTTCCCCTCCTGCCAGCCACACCCTGGACAGACCTGACCCTTAGACACTGGTATGAAACTCCAGTTCTGATCTGGAGTAGGGAAAGCCTTTCTGGCGCTATCATAAACCCAGTGGCTAAGAATGAAAAAACTAACTTGACTGGGCCGGGGATTTAGCTCAGTAGTGTCACCGCCTGCCTCGAAAGTGGAAGGACCCGAGTTCAATCCCTGGTACTAAAAAAAACAAACAAACAAAACTAACTCGACTAAGATTAAATGATGCCAAATTAAAGAGTAGAAAAACATCACAAAGCAAAGCAACAGACAAGGGCTGGGGATGTAGCTTAGTGGCAGAGCTCTTGGCTCACATGCACAGGGCCTGGGTTTGACCCCCAACACTGGGGAAAAGAAGTTTCACATCAGCCTACTTTCATAAATAATAATTGTTAAAGTATGCTTAGCTCAGAGTCTGGAAGAATCATTACCAATCTTGGGGGGCAGAAAAGTTGGGAGGTACATTTTAGAGTAATTTGCAATAAGTTATATTATTAGTGAACATTTAAATGCTTCAGTTACCTTACAATGATATTAAAAACATAATTACCATCAGCAGCAGGAAGACACGCATTTGTAGTAAAGATTTGGAGAAAAAATTAATATAGACAGAAGTTAGAGTAGTCAGAAGCAGCTTGCCGCCTGGAGACCCGAGCCCCACCCACCTTGCCCCGCCCACCGCCGGCCCCGCCTCCACGCACCTGCGCTTCTGCTCTCGGAACCCCATCATCTCCTGCAGGATGCTCAGGTGTGTGTTGGCACCCTGGTCCTGCGGGCTCAGACCCAGGGCCTGGTTGTAATCTGCCTCCGCAAAGGTCAGGTTACCCAGCTGGAAGAAGCAATCTAGGGCCGGAGGGCAGGGGCTGAGTGAACCCCTCGCTCCCGGGAGCCCCAGCCCCGCTTGCTCCAGCCCGGCCAGAGGTGGCTGGGGGCTGAGACCCACACAGGTGGTCCCAGTTTTCAGTGCTTCTGCGCACCTTTTCCTGGTTGCCGAGCTGAGACTCTAAGGAGACTGTACCCAGTTTGTCTAAGGCGACACTGGGACACGGAGACCATCAGATGCCCCCAGCCCCCTTCCCCGCCCACCGCCGCGGTTGATGTAGAGACCCTTCTCGCGATGCTCCCCCCGTAGCGCCTTATTGAGCAGTAGCACGCCCTCCTGGTAGGCGCCCTGTTTGTAGCAGTGCACAGCAAAGTCGTTGTAGGTCAGCAGCAGCTGGCGCTGCGCCTGTCGCACTGTGTCACGTTGGCTGTCGGCGGTGGCCACGTCCAGGACCTTCAGGAAGTCCTCCACTGCCGCGTCAGCCTCCTGCAGCCGGCGGTACAAGATGCCCCTGCGGGGGAGGGCACGGCAGGTGGCAGGGAGGACCAAAGCACCCGCCGAGTGGCGCGTGGCCGGGTAAGCCACTGCTCACCCTGCTTTCTGACCCAGGCCCCGGGACGCTGGTGGCGGCTCCCACTCCAAGGCCTAGGTTTGTCCTGTGCCCCTAATTTTCTCAAAAATAGCTTCTGTTTTTCTTGGGAGCCAGATGCATGGCAGCCTATACCGAGGTCCATGGGTACATGCAGCAGATGTTTTACCCCACTGTCCAGGCTCACAGAGGTTAAATGGCCCCAAATCACATGGTAAGTCCGAGGGCAGGTGGGGACTGCCAGTGGGAATTGCTCCACAGGCCTGGGCTTCTAGGATTCCCAGGATGCCTGGGCCCCACTGCCTGGCCCTCCTCTGGGAGCAGCGGCAGAGACCACCTCCATGCTGCTAGGACCCTGGTAGGGACAGACTAGGGGCTCGAGGAGGACACAGATGGGAAGAGGCTGAGGAACTCTCTTGAGTCCACGCAGCGAGCTGCAAAGGGCGGGCCTGAGACCCAGGGCCAGCAGCTCCCCACTGCACACCGGAAGAGGAAGAGACTGGGCTCCAGAGGGCTGTTGTCCACGGCACAGTTGATGCGCTGCAGTGCATGCTGCAGCCTGCCCTGTATGGCCAGGATCCCAGCATCCTGGCGGGCCTCCTGGGCCTGGTCCACCATCATCTGGAGCAGCATCCTGGCCTGTGGGGGCTTGGGATCCAACAGCAAGGCGCTGCACAGGTCCTGACAGCAGAAGTTGGGCTGCAGGGGTGCCATCAGGGGCATCAGGAGTGCCAGTGGGCTAAGCCAAGCCCTTCTCTGCCCAATGTGGGGAGGAGGAGGGGCGGTCTCCAGGACGCGGACTGGCGGGCTAGCATCACACCATCCCTCCTCTGTGGCCTATGCAGTGTCTGCACGTACAGCACAGCTTGACATGACCACAGCCATCTTGTGTCATAACCGCCATGATTGCCCCCGAGTAACCTAGCTGGCTTTTCGGGCAAAGGTTCCCAGCAAAACACAAACAGATAAAACCAGCAGTCAGCTACATGGGTTTGGCTTTACAACCAGGCCCTGGCTCCAGGAATGCACCTGACTGTGCTATTATCTTAAGACCCGCCAGTCACTTCCATCTTCACACATACAAACACCCCTCTTCCTGACCCAAATTGCTGAGATCCAGCTGCCATTCAGGACTGGGCTTCTGTCAGAACATTCCCTATACATCTGTGCCATGCTAGACCTGCCTGCCTCTCTTCCTTCGGTCTCACAGTGCTAGGGGACAGTCTTCCTACGCCAGGACTGGGTTGTTCTGGAACACTGTTCTGTCTCCTTCCAGTTGAAGGAGGCAAGGAGCACTGTGGGAAGACCCATTCCAGCCTCATCCTCTGTGATGGTTTGTGTTTAGATGTCACCCCAAAGCCTCATGCAGATGAGGTGAGGGTTGCTTTTTCAGAGGTAGTTGAAGCTGGGATGTGTGATTACTAAACTAAACCACTACATATGAGTGAATGGTTTGGCACTGCCCTAATCCCGGTACTCTGAGTAAGATAAAATGGGCAGAAAGATGCTGTTAAAGGCTCTCGCTTGTTACCTTTGCTGCCTTGTGTGCACCCTGTTGTTTCTCCTCTGCGATGCCTGTCTGCTGTCCCTGCCTCGGAGCCAGCCGATTATGGACTGAAACCTCTATGAACTGTAAGCCAAATAAACTCTTTTCCCCTTTAATTTTGGGTGCTGGGTATGTGGTCTCAGCAATGAGAGAGAAGTAACTAGCACACCCTTGCTGTCCCCTTTCCAGATGTGACCTGTGAGCCGGACTGGCCTTGTGGTTTGTGACAATGCCACCTCCTCGCAGGGCCCCTCAACGGCCTGACTGTGCTCTTCTCCCGCTTCCTGACCTTGAAGCCCAAGACAGCACTGACCAAGAACAGAGTCAAGCCTGAGCGTGAGCAGAAAGCATCCCCAGGGTATGCAGGTCAGCCAGTCAGTCAACAAACAGTTTCAGCAAGCAGCCTGTGTCCTGCAGGTAGTGACTGGGAGGTGGACCGGGCAACAGTGTGGGCAGCGGGTGTGGGCTAATGGGGAGGGGCAATGGCAGAAGCCAGGGGCAGGGCTTTGGAGTAGGTGGGCAGCTCCACTGACAACTGCTGTGTGGCCCTGGACAAGTCACTGCAGTGCTGCTGCTGCTTCACCTGCCCACCGCAGCGGGGTCAAGGCACGCAGACAATTCCTCGTCTCAGGCCCGAAGGCGGCTCTCCCACTGACTCGTGTGTGGGGGACTGGGGCCCAGGCCCTCAGCAGAGGGACAAGTCACCTGCGACTCAATCCAACCCCAGGAGCGACTTCTGGAGGGCAGTGGCCTGTTCTGGAATTGCGGGCGCCCCTTTCCTACCACCCGCCCACCTTCCCGTGTGTCCCAGCGTCTCCATCCCCATCCCCATCTCCTGGCCAGGCCGGGCAGAGCACAGGATGTTGAGTGGAGCCTTCCTGCTCCTGCCTGCCCTCGGCCTCCCCCCACCCGGCTCACGACCCAGAAGCAGGGGGCGCCCCCCAAAGCCCTGGGGACCGGGGGCCCTCTCACACTGCAGCACCCTCCCTGCCCTGCCCGGCACCCCTCCCTCCTCCCAGGACACTGGCTCCCTCGCCCCAGAGCTGTTCCCTCCCCTGTGTGTGTCACAGCCTGTGTGGGGCTGGGAGGAGGGGTCCATGGAGCCAAATGGGAAGGGAGGGAGGGAGGGAGGGAGAGGGAAGAGACAGCCGGAGGAGCAAAGGCTGCCTTAGGTTCCCCAGGGCACCTCCCCTTGGCACTTCAAACAACTGAGGCTAAATCGTTCCTTGTGCTCCTGTCTGCTCAGGGTGTTTCCCCTGGGCTGAGAGCTGCAGGAAGGCAGGGACGACAGGGTTCCTCACCTGTGGTTTCCATGGGGCCCAGCACGGGGCTGGAACAGAGCCAGAGCCAAGTAACAAGGGACAGCCACCCAGCCGGGCAGCTTAGTGGGCAGGGCTGCCGGGAGCCTCTGCCTAGGGAGGAAGCCGGAGGGCATGCTGTGGGGTTGGGGTGTCTGGGCTGGCTGTCAGCCCTGCCCTCCTGTCATCTTGGGGCGCGCCCGGGGCTCAGAGGCTGGGGAGGCCCACACACCTGCCCTGCACGCCCCACTCACCCCGTCTGGAAGAGGTTGTAGATCCTGGCACGGAGGATGTAGAGGTCGGCGTTGGTCGTGCCTTGCCCTTGCCTCAGCTGCTTGTTGATGAGTGCCAGGCAGTCGTGATGCCGCTGGAGGGCCAGGAGGCAGGCCATGCTGCGGGCGGCAGAGGGCGAGGTGGGCACAGCAGGCAGGAAGGAGCTGCTGGGAGAGGGCGCCAGGCCGGGCACTCACCTCCGGTACCAGAAGTGCTGCTTCTCGGGCTGGAGCTCCCAGGCCTGGGAGAACCGTCAGGGCATCCTCGAAGTTGCACTGCTCAAAGAGGCACTGGCCCTGGGGACACAGGGACAGTCGATCCTGCTGGTGACCCTGGCCCAGTGGAACCTGCCACTTGCCAGGGGCCAACTTTGGGACAGAGGGGAGATACAAGAGACAGGGCCAGAGCTGATTAAATCTGGGAGGAACTTTCAGATACACAGAGACAGAGATGGAGAGAAGCAGGGCCGGACGCACATTGGGCAAGGGACAGTGACACAGACAGCCTGGAACGGGCACCTGGAAAGCAGGTGACAGCAGCCGCGCTCACAGTAACAGTCCACAGCCCTGGGCTGAGAACCTGAACTTGTCACCTCACTGGCCCTGGCCAGCAGCCACCTTTGGATGAAGGAAAAGAAGTCTCGGAGAGGCGAAGTGTTTCCTGAGGTCACACAAGAGGCGACACTGCAGGACGCAGGCCCCAGACAGATGGCTTAAGCACAAGGCTTGGGCAGCCCAAGTGCTTCTTTTGAAGAATTGGATAATTTGGGGGGTGGGGTGGGAGTTGAGTCAGGGTCTCAACTATGTAGTCTGGTCTGGCCTTGAACTCACTAGTAGCCCAGCCTGGCCTCAAACTTGTGGCAGTCCTCCTCCCTCAGCCTTCCTAGTGCTGGGATTACATCTTTCTTTTTTTAAAGACATTAAACCAGGCATGGTGGCACATGCCTGTAATACCAGCACACAGGAGTCTGAGGCAGGAGGATCATGAGTTCCAGGCCAGCCTAGGCTACATAGAGAGACCCTACTCAAAATAAAATTTAAAAATAGTTATCAAAGTTGTCAAGATAAAAAAACAATCGGGCCAGGGATTTAGCTTAGTGGTTTCGCTGTCTGCTGCGCAAGTGCAAGGACCCGAGTTTGATCCCCGGTACCAAAAAAAAAAGATAAAAAAACAATCAAGACTTGGTTGTGTTTTGTAGTTCACTTTTTTTTTTTTTGAGACAGGGTCTCACTATGCAGTTCAGTCTGGCCTTGAACTCATTGTGTAGCCCAGGCTGAGCTCAAACTCACAGCAATCTTCCTGCCTCAGCCTTTTGAGTGCTGGGACTGCAGGCGAGGGTCACCATACCTGGCTTTTTTTTTGAGACAGGGTCTTGCTATGTAGTCCAGGCTAGCCTTGAACTTGTGGGAATCCTCCTTTTATAGGGTAGTTCCTTTAAAAGTGACTCACCAATCAAAAGTATTCTAGGTCCTTCTTTCCCCAAACAAAGAATTGGACAAGCCAAAAACAGTGTCAGAAGTTTATTTGAAAAGTGTGGAGTGAATGGGTACGGGAGAAACCAGCTCTATTTGGGCTGAACAAAGAAGAAAAGAGGGTAAAAGCAAAAATAAAAGTATATGCGCCTTCTGAGAAATACTACACGGGCTATCAGGGGAACTCATGATAGCAGCTTCCTGTGATGGCCTCTCTTCTTTTATTCAGCCCACATCTAGTGGGAGCTTGAGAGAAGATCTACATAGGGGCTCCTGGTATTACCCGGGGATCTTGTAACTGACAAGTCCTGCTCATTTTCCCCAGCCATGTCTCCTATGTCACTCCTGCTTCACCCTCCCAAGTGCTGGGATTACAGGTGTGTGCCACCACACGTGGCTTGAATTTTATTATAAGCTGCAAATAAGGTTATTATCCCTTTTTTAGTGCTCCAGCCTCTCCACTCTAGATCTGTCCACTACCACAGGCACCAGCTAGCTGCATGTGGCTATACAGATTTAAATTCATTAAAACTTGGGGCCAGGGATTTAGCTCAGTGGTTTTGCCGCCTGCTGCACAAGTGCAAGGACCCGAGTTCGATCTCCGGTACCAAAAAGAAAAACAAAATACAAAAACAAAAAACTAAATAAAATTGGGCTGGGGATTTACCTCAGTGGCACCATGCAAGACTCGCAAGCACAAGGCTCTGAGTTTGATCCCCAGTACCAAAAAAAAAAAAAAAAGCTAAATAAAATTGATATTTAATTAGTTTTGAAGTGCTAGGGATCAAACATAGGGCCTCACACTTGCTAGGCAAGTGTTCTGCCTCTGAGTTTGATCCCCAGTACCAAAAAAAAAAAAAAAAAGCTAAATAAAATTGATATTTAATTAGTTTTGAAGTGCTAGGGATCAAACATAGGGCCTCACACTTGCTAGGCAAGTGTTCTGCCACTGAGCTACACCTGTAGCCCAGATAAAATTAAAATTCAGTTTCTGATCACACTTGCCACAGTTCAAGGGGTCCAACCTTTCACATGGCTGGTGGCTGTGCTACTACTGGACAGAGCTGAGTCGATCACGTCATTATGCTGCAAAACTCTACCCACCCCTGGCAGGAAGCCCCTCAGCAGGTGAGAGGGACAGCAGACACAGGGAGGAGTCCCCAAGGAGACAGCTGGTCCCGAGGGCAAGGAGAGCCCCCCAGAGCTGAAGCGCAAGCCAGGGGGCCTGGGTACAAGTGGGCACCTGCAGGTAAAGCACAAAGGTGAGCTGCTCCAGGTGCTTCGTGTTCTCCGGCTGGGCCGAGTAGGACCTGCGCAGGTTCTGGGCAGCCGAGGAGGAGTCGCAGAGCTGGATCAAGGCCTCCGCTCGTAAGGCGTAGAAGTCTACCTGGAGGTGAGGGGACCCAGGCTGCTGTCTCCTCCCCACCACCCACCCCTCCCTGAGGCTGGACATGCAGTTATGGGCAGGGACTTGGCGGTCCTGAGAGGAGGGCCCTGGAAAGTGTGTCAGAGGCTGTCCATGCCCACCCAGGCCCTCTCACCAGCTGAGGGTCCAGGTGGAGGGCTCGGGAGAAGAAGAGCACAGCCATCTCCCAGTCCTCCTGCTCCAGGCATCCCTGGCCTCGGTGGTAGCTGCAGGCAGGGAAGTATGGGCAGGGGGCTGCCCTGACTTTGCACCAGCCCAAAGCGTACAGCTGGGGCTGAGGGGACCGGTAGTTGGGAGGTGGAGTGGGGGGACAAGAAGAGTGGACGGAGTGCCAGGAAGGGAGGGTTGGCATTTCTGGAGCTCATCCAGGCCATCAGTCTTTTTTAAATTTTGGTACTGGGGATCGAACTCAGAACCTTATGCTTGCAAGGCAGGTGGCGGCGCCACTGAGCTAAATCCCTGGCTCTGGGCCGTCAGTCTTTCATCCACTGGCAGAAGAGCTGTTACACAATGGAGTTCATTGAGGGCCAGAGAGAAATGGTAACTGGCTCAAGATTGCAGAACATGTTAATAGCTGTGTAGAGTAGGAGTCTGGGACCACAGGACAAGGTAGTCACTTACTACTCCCTGACTTTGAGAGGCACTGTTAATCCTGTGACCTTTGGTTTTATATCATCCATGCCCCAGAACACCTGGCTGGTCCCAAAGATGGAACGTAGGGTCCCCCTTGGGACTGGAATCACCCATGGCTTTGGGATGCTGTATGAGGAGGTCTGTCCAAGCTCCGGGTCCTCCTAGAACAGTGACAGCCACCAGGAGCAGGCCTCAGAGAGGACCCTCGCCCGACCTATACACTTCCCCAGCCCCCTCCCTTCTGTACTGGTGGTGGAACTCAGATCTTTGTTCGTGGTAGTACTGAGCTACACTCCCAGCCCTCTCCGGAGGTATATTCCCATGTAGGTGGAGAAGGAGTGGAAACAGGACCTGGAAGGCAGCGCACACACAATCTGGGGTCTACTGCTCTCCTGACCATTTCCTCTAAGATGTTCCAGCGTCTCTCTGCAGTCCTGCTTCTGTCTCTCTCCTACAGTCCAGGTCCTCATCCACACCACCCTCTGCTCTCCTCCTAACAGCCATCACTCTAACGTCCCCAGAGCAGGCCCTGCCCTAGGTCACAGGCCTCGGGATCCCCAAGTCCCTTGGGTATCCTTTGGGACCCTCACACCCAGAAAGCTATACTGAGTAAGCCCTTCATCTGACATCTGCTTCAGGCTTTCCCACCTCGACTTGTCACCTTCCCCACTAGCCATTCAAGCCAGAGACATGTCCTATCTGTGCCACTTCCTCAAATCTCTCAGATCGCTCTTCTCTCGTCCCCCTCCTTCGGGCCAGTGTCATTTATCTCTACCTGGATACCGGGCTCTGGCCACCCCTCCCACCTCCGCACGGCCCCAAGGCCTCCCTGAATAGCACTGCTGGCTCTGTCTCCGTCCTACGTGAAGCCTTCCTGGAAATCAGCCCTGGTCTCCTTACCCTGCCTTCTACCTTGGCTTTGGCATCTCCAGCCTGCACTTCCCAGGAGTCTGTCATGAGGTATCTTGCAGGAGGATCTCTGGGCCTGCGCCAACTCCTTCCGGGACCCCTGCCCGCCTCCTAATTTAGGCCTCTGGCGTTACTAGGCAGCAGCTCCAGGACGCCCACAGGTTCCGCTCCTTGGCCACGCCCCCAGGACCAAAGGCTGTAAGAAAAGTTAATAGCGGGTGAAGCTAAGGTCTCTGGCTTGAATGAACTGGATGGGTTTCTGCAGCAAGGAAGGGCCATAGCGGTGGCATAACCAGGTTCCTGCCTCCCAAGCCGATGATTAAGCAAGATCTCCGAGAATGTGACATAAACCCCACAGGGACACGGTGACACCTCGCCACGGAATGCACAAGCACACCCCGACGCGGCCACCGCCTCGCCACTTCCGCCTTTTGTAAATATGGCGGCCACGAGGCGAGGCCCGAATTGGACACCCTGAGCAGAGGACGATTTGATTGGCTTAGGGCTGGTTGACGTCAGGGGGCGGGGTCCGGACCGTGAATGGGAACAGCCTGTTGTGGTCCGGCCTTTTGCGCGCTGGGCTGTGGGCTGTGGCCGACGCTGGCCATGAGTCGGTTTGTTTCGGAACTTCAGTCCCCAGGGAAGCGGTGGCTGGTGAGTGGGGTGTGGGCTCGGGGGGCCTCTAGTTCTCGTTCTGTCACTGTCTCCCGGGTAAATCCCCCAAATTGCTGTCCCAGTTTTCTTATCTAGAAAAGGGCTCGGATACCACGGCTTCTTTTAGGCGCTTCTCTTCTCTAACCCGGCGCCCTGCCCGCCCAGCCTTTTGAAGCTTCTGGGAGCTCCCGGGCCCCTTTGTCGCGCCCCTTTCCCACTGTAGCTCTGCTCTCCGTTTTTCCTCTGCTTTGGGTCCCAGGGAAGGCTGTGCGATCAGGGGTGGTGAGAGTTGTCAGGCCTCAGTTTCCCTGGTGCCGCCCGCAGGTGGCTGGCCTGGGGAACCCCGGACTCCCCGGCACGCGGCACAGCGTGGGCCTGGCAGTGCTGGGGCAGCTGGCGCGGCGTCTAGGAGTGGCGGAGAGCTGGGTGCGCGACTCGAGCTGCGCCGCCGACCTCGTCCTGGCCCCACTCGGCGATGCCCAGCTGGTCCTGCTCCGGCCGCGGCGGCTCATGAACGCCAATGGGCGAAGCGTGGCTCGGGCCGGTGAGTTGAGGGCTCCAGGGATGAACCGGCGGGGAGGGCGCAGGGTCCAGAGAGGGTGCACTGTCTTCATGAGCAGCTCCAGCTGCTCTGAGGTTAGGTACTTTGAGGAGCCTCTTCTTTTTTCTTTTTTTGATGATCTGAGACAGAGTCTTGCTATGTATTTCAGGCTGACCTTGAACTCACTGTGCAGCCCAGGCTGGCCTGGAACTCAAGGCACTCCCCCTGCCTCAGCCTCCTGAGTGCTGTGATTAGAGGCATGCACCACCACACCCAGTCGCCTTGGCTTTTTTATATGGGAAGTGGGTGGGGTTCCTTGTGTGACCTAGGGAGATGCCTGTCAGGGCAGATGGGCAGTAACCAGGGCCACCCTTTCCCTGTGCCAAGCGGAGCTGTTTGGGCTGACGGCAGAGGAGGTCTACCTGGTGCACGATGAGCTGGACAAGCCCCTGGGGAAGCTGGCTCTGAAGCTGGGAGGCAGTGCCAGGTTAGGTCCCTCTGCTCAGGGTTGGGGCAGGGATGCTGCCCTCCAGTTGGGGTGGAGTGGGGCTTCTGCCCCAGGCTCCCCAGGGATGGGCCACGCGGAACCCAGCTGGGACTGAAAGGGGTAGAGGGTGCCTCCCCCCAACACTAACTTCTCCCTTGTCCCTCAAAGGGGCCACAATGGAGTCCGTTCCTGCATTAGCTGTCTCAACTCCAGCGTGAGTCTGCCCTTCTGCCCTGCCCTGGGTGGGGATGGCCAGTGTGGGGTCCCCAACATGCCTCACCAAAGCTCCCGGGCCCCCCTCGATCCCCCACAGGCAATGCCAAGGCTGCGGGTGGGCATCGGTCGCCCTGTGCACCCTGGCACAGTGGAGGGCCACGTCCTTGGCTACTTCTCCCCTGAGGAACAGGAGCTGCTGCCTCCGCTGCTGGAGAGTGCCACTGACCTGCTCCTGGACCACATCCAGAATCGGAGCCAGGCGCCCTCACCCGGTCCCTGACACCAGTGCACTAGGTTGCTGCCTGATTGCAGCGGCCGCAGACTCAGCCATGGCCATAAAGCCACCATGCCCACTGAGGGGTTCCATTTTTTATAGGGGGTCCACTCTTCTCTGGGCTGCTCCAGGCCTCCTGCAGATTCCAGGGGGGACTGTGGCCAAAACAGTCCCTTTCTGGGGTAGGGTGGGGTTGGTCTCTCCAGGTGCTACTTGGGACGCAGGAAAACTTCAGGAACATTGAACTTTTTGAGCCTTTTTAGAGTGCCGGGGGCATGGATCTGTAGGATTAAAGATGCCAGCTTGGATGCTGAATCCTCCTCAGAGGGCAACTCTCACCTTTCTCCTGCCAGTGGGGTGGGTAGAACAGTGTGCAGCACCCCCTCCCCAGGGGATGTGTGGGCATGCCCTGCCACACCTTTTACAGACGGGAGGCTCAGAGACATCTAGTCACATCCCAAAGGCCGCACAGCTGTGACCTGGCAGAGCCACACTGTGCACCCCCAACGGGCAGCTGTCTTGCTGTCCCTGGGGGGCCTGGAACCCTCACCTCAGGAGTGCTGTGTGCCCGGAGGGTCCCCATGCGGGTGACAAATGAGAGCAGCCTGAGGTCCTGGGGGTTGGGTGGGAGGTGGCCTTGGTGAGGCACTGAGCCTGGATGCCCTGGCTGGAAGGTGGTGATGCCAGATAGCTGCTGCTGCAGGACACAGGATTGGCTGTGGGGAGGGGCCTGGGGTCATCACCTCCATCTCCGGAAGAAGAGGCTGGGGTTCAGGGAGGCCTGGGAGAGGTAGGCTTTTCTGCAGCACGGCAGCTGCCTCTTCTGAGGCCACCCAGGGCCACCTGCTTACCTCTCCTTGGGCGGCCCATGGGGCTGCTTCTTGTGGCGGAGACATGCAGCCATCTGGGGTTTCAGGACCACCACAGAGCTAAGCAGGGCCAGCAGTTGCTGCAGCAGCTCCTTGCACCGTAGCTGGAGTGCCACTTCGAAGTCGCCGTCCTCTTCATCTGTGTACATCTACCGGGGAGACTGGGCTGGCATCGGGCCCACAGTGGCCCCAACACCCACCTACCTTGGGAGCACTCCCACCCCAGGGCCTGTCTGCTCAGTGTCCCCTGGTCAAATGAGTACCCGTTCTCTAAGTAGGGAGATAGGCCTGAAGCCTTCTAGAATCTGAGAGGAGGAATTCAGCTCTTTGGAGACCTTGAAGGGATCTTGAAGTCCAGAATCAGAAAAGGACAGACTGAGCTGGGTGTGGTGGTGGCACATCTATGTGCACACCTATAATCCTGGCACTCCAGAAGCTGAGGTGGGAGGATCCCTGGAGTTTGAGGCCAGCCTGGGCTACATAATGAGTACAAGGCCGGTGGTGGCACACTCCTGTAATCCCAGCACTCAGGAGACTGAGGCAGGAGGATCACTGGGAGTTCAAGGCCAGCCTGAACTATATAGCCAGCCCCTGTCTGAAAAAAAAAAAAAAAAAGGCAGGACAAGAGTCTCTCAGGGAACAGAGTGGCTTCTGAGCTTGCAGATGGCCAAGTTCCCTGTGAGCAGCTTCTCCTGGTCTCTGTCTTTGGTGCCCCCACTTCCGGCTTACCTGCAGAATATCCTGTACATACAAGATGGCCTGGGCCAGGATCACCTCTAGGCTGGCCCGAATCTTCTGCTCCTCATTCAGCTCCTGCTGTAGCTGCTGTACCTCAGCTTGCTGCTGCTGCTGCTGCTGGTTCAGCTGGTCTCTCTGGCTCCTGGTTGGGGACAGGGTGAGTCGACAGCCCACCTCCATCCCCTGGCTGTGGCTGGTGGCCCTGGGCCCTGCTGGTTCTCTCTAGCCCATCCAAACCCAGGCTTCAGCCTGACAGCCCCAGGCTATGGGGCCCAAAAGAGATGTGGAGAGCCCGCCCGTGCCACCCCATTCTTGCGCACTGCAATGCCTGGTTGTCTGTCTGCAGCTGCAGGACGCTCTGCTCCAGGTGGTTCAGCAGGAGACGCAGCTGCTTGGCCTCCGCCATGCCCTGCTGCTGCTCTTGGCACTTCTCGGTCAGCATGAGGATGATCTGCAGGGTGGGCAGGACCCCAGGGCACTGGACGACCCCAGTCTTCCCTGTCCGTCAGCACCAGACACAGCCAGGCTCACCCCCATGTACAGAGAGGCCAGTACCACCACTGGACAGCAACTCGGCACAGGCAGGGTCTGCTTCAAGTTATCGGGGCTTCGAAGCAAAGAAGGATAATGCAGAACTGGGGACTCCCTCACACAGGCCCGTCCCCACTGTGCCACCTCCTGCATTTCTTGGCTCCAGCCTGAAGCTACTCTGCAGGGGCACCCTGGGCACAGGGCCCCTGGGTTTCCTCCTGCTTCATATGCCAGATGTGCTTCTTGCATGGTGGTACACCTCTAATCCAAGCATGGGAGGCTGAGGCAGGAGGATCACTGAGTTTGAGCTCTGCCTGGGCTACGTAGTGAGTCCAAGGCCAGCCTGAACTGCATAGTGAGACTCACCTCCCCCCCTCCAATTGTGTGCCAAGCGCACCTTTCGGTGGCCTCTGCTGTTCCTGGCCATGACCTTCTGGGTGCTCTCCAGCAGCCCCAGCTGTTTGCGCAGCTCCTCCTGGGTGTCCTTGAGCTGCTTATTCTCCTGCAGCAGCTGCACACCTTGCTGGGACACCTTAGCCAGCTGCAGCGTTGTGCTGTTGTTCTCCACGATGGCCCGCTTCGTCATCTCCCACGTCTGGTGCGCGGCCATCTTGTGGAACTCAGCAGCCACCAGGTTCACTCGCTGGATGATCTCTTTCCTCAGTCTGCTCAGGTGGCAGAGGGGAAGGGGCAGCCAGAGGGCACACACCCTGATATCCCCTTCCTTGAGGGCCCCAGAGCCTGGACTGCACTGGGTGAAGAGGAATGTCTTGGGCCACATACAGTATATATAATTAATGTACATCAGCAATAAAGCTTTCTTTGTTTTTTAATATTTGTTCTTATAATATTTTTAAGAAGAGGGCAAATGGCCTGTGGGCCACAAGTTGGACATGTCTGTCAGGAGACCCTCTGGAGCTTTGGAATTTGAACCATTGCAACCTATTCTGTTGTTATGACACAGGGTCTCTATATAATTCAGGCTGACCTTGAATTCACTCTGGCTGGCTTCTTATCCTCCTGAGTGCTGAAATTATAGGTGTGCACCACCACGCCCAGCTCACTGTAACCTTTTATTAACTAAGTAAATCTAGGTTAAATCACAAGAAGTGGCCAGAGGAAGCTCAGGGATTCCCCATCACCCACCTGAGGACTGCAGCCTGGAGCTTCCTCACTGTGCACCCCTTGGCTCGTCCCAGCCAGTGCTCTGGGGAGCCGATGACCTGGTCCTAGCCCCTCAGAAGCTGAGGAATGCAAAGGCCTGCAGAGTGGGCTGTGTGTGGGCCCAGTGGGGTGCCCAGCCTGCCCACCTGTCCTTGTCCAGCACGGACTTCTTCTCCAGGTTGTACACGGAGTCCTTGTACTCACTCTCCTGCTTCTGCAGCTGGTCCTCCAGGGACGAGAACTTGTCCATGAGCTCCTCTTTCTGTAGCCGGAACTCCTCCAGGGCGGCCAGCTTTCCCCCTGCCCACAGAAGGGCATAAGCCCATGAGGGGCTGCCCAGAAGGCCTTGAGTGATGCCCCCCGGGCACCTCCCATTGCCCCTCTGCCTCCTGCTCCTGCAGGGCTGGCCCTGCCCATGCCACACTCCTAAATACATGCACTGCCCACCTTTATCACTTTCATCTGGAATGCCCTCCTGCCACCCAAAACTAATCTCACAAAGCCTGCAGGATCCATCTGCTCCAGGAAGCTGCAATTGATACTGTGCTCTAGTCCCTTCTCATGAGAGTAGCAGTGACGTGAGAGAGGAGACCACCCCTCCATATGGAATGGGCAACTATGAGTTAACTGGGTAACTGCTCTTTGTAGAATGTACCTGAGTAGCTATGACAAGTTCTGTAATGTTTCCCCAAAGGAGCGTGATGGACTCAAAGTCCTGCCAGAAGCTCTCCCCACCTCCACTGCCCTGCATTGGGTAAATCCTGCTTGCTATATTCCCAGGGAAACTCCAATGGAATTAAGCTTTGTAGATGTAAAAAGAGGTATATAAAAAAGCACAAACTTCTATTCGGGGCTCTCGAAACTGACAGGAGTCACTTAGTGAGCTCCCGGCATCATTAAAAGCCGCTTTTTGCTCCTATCTTCGTGTTAAAAGAGTTGTTTGTGCTGGGGTCCTCACTGTTTCCTGCTTCAACAAGAGGAGCTGAAGGCTGGGGATTTAGCTGAGTGGTCTTGCACCTGCCTCACAAGTGCAAGGTCCTGAGTTGGGTCCCTGGTCCCACACACACAAACACACACACACACGTACACAAAACAACAACAAAAAAACATGAGCAGCTGAAATGGAACATCTCTGGCCCAGGCCCTCATGCTGCTTGAGGCCATTGACTTCTTGAAGTTTCCAGCCTCACAGATGACAGGAGAATTAAGGAAGATGTGTGTGAAGCAGCCCCTGTCTGCTGAGTCAGCCCCACTTTCCAAGTGAGAAAACAGGGTCACAGAGGTCACAGATCACCTGGCTCCGGTGGGCTGTGCCCTGGGCCATGCTCACCGAGGACGCTGTTCTCTGTGGTCAGCTGGTCCTTGGTCTCCTGGAACTCGTGGCGCACCTGGGCCAGCTGTGCCTCAAAGGCATCCTTCTCCATCTCCTTGGCCAGCTGCAGGCTCTGCAGCTGCTCCTTGAGGTCCGTGATCTCATCCACCCGCTGGTTGAGCGTGTGTTTGAGGAAGGCCACGATGTCCTTCTTGTTGTTGGCCAGCTGCTCAAACTCCTGGCGGGACAGCCTCTCCTGTGAGGCCAGCTCATCCAACTTCCGCTGGTACCTAGGGTGGGGGCGGGCAGAGGGCTAGGGTTGGGGCAGGCAAGCCAGACCTCTGGTGCTGGGCCCACTCTCTGGGACACACACACATCTGGCCATAAAGGGGCATTAGACCTTCTTCATCTTCCCCTGTGCCCCTATTGCTCACCATTTTGTGTTTTTTATGTCTCTAGAATATAGGATCCATATGGGCCAAGCCTTTATTACAGTCACAGGCATGATCCCAATATCTGGGCCTGATACCTAGCAGGTGCCCATTTGTTGAGCCCTCACAACCTAGAAAGATGTGAGTACTATGATGGTTGTACCCATTTTATAGATGAGGAAACTGAGGCTCAGAGAGATGAAATTCCTAGTTAATAAGTGACAAAGCAAGAACGTGAACCTCAGGTTGACCCTAAAGCCATGATGCCCACGCTGCAGTCAGCCAGCTCTGCATCCCTCCCTAACACCTTCACAGTAGTAAGGCCTGCTGTCTTCCTCATCTTTGTCCATCAGTGAACCCACTGCTGCATCCTCGGTGGACCCTTCATGGCCCCAAGTCAGATTCCTGCCCTCTCCTGTAGGTTGAATTTTGCCCCACTGGTTGGTCAAGACCGGAGGATTTCACCCTTCTCCTCCACTTGGCAGACCCCTGAACTCCACCTCTCTATTCTCAGGGCCCAGCAGAGGGCTTGGCCAATACCAAGGACCCAATAACTGTCCAATAAATGCATTTTCCTGATACGCTCCCTCTGGTGTCTCGGCTGAAGAAAGCTGTGAATTTTTTTTTTTTTTTGGTACCGGAGATCGAACTCAGGACCTTTTACTTTTGAGGCAGGCACCGGAACCACTGAGCTAAATTCCTGGCCCAGGAAGCTGTGAATTTTAAGAGCACAATATAACAGACTAGTTGCCGATGGAATAAAGCTACTGCAAAGTTATTCTACTCCGTAATTCACTGAACCAACACCTTTCAAAAGGTTTCTGCACACCGGGCACTGCAGGAGTGTGGAGCCGAAAGATTCCTGGGGGGTAAGGAAGGAGCCCAGTGTGGGGAGTCAGAGAGGCTGGGCTGTCATGCTGGCACCTCTTCTTCCCCGGGGTGACTCTGAACCTCAATAGCCCTGTCTCTGCATTGGGGTGACGTCAGGACCTCTCTTGTGGAACTGGTGTGAGGACACCGGAAGTGCAGTGTTAGGCAGAAAGTTAGACATTAGCAGGCCTGGAGAAAGGTGGCTGGGGCTACTTGAAAAGCAAAGGAAACAAAATGTTTATCCTTTGCTTTCTTTTTTTGGTACTGGGGATTGAACTTGGGACCTTGCGTTTACAAGGCAGGCACCAGAACCACTGAGCTAAATCCCCAGCCCTATTCTTTGCTTTCTTAATCATTGGTTATAGGTAAAAGCCACACAAACTTGTGGTTTCAAACTTTAGCTCAAGAGAAGGTAACATCCTCTGAGCGTGCTGATAAGGTCCCCAGGCTGTACAGAGTCCAGACTGTGGGTGACACCAAGGGATTGGAAAAACCTGAAGGTCTCAAAACAAACCATACCCAAAACATCCACCTATGGAGTAAACCTATGGAGGACCCAGTAGGTGAACACAGCCTGTTTTCCTTGTGAAAAGCAATGACCTGGGAGAAAAGAAAGGAAATTCCTTGAAAGACTCAGTTGGGGGAGGGGGAAATGGTGCGCCCTGTAATCCCAGCACTCAGGAGGCTGAG